CTATGATTCTTTCGAGCGCAAAGTCAGACGGATCGCCCAAGAGAGTCACTTCCCGGTCGTTTTCCTCGCCCCCCTCGAAACGCTCTGAGAAGATGAACGTTGGGTCTGATCTTCTCCAGAGCAAGACAAGGCATCCACCGTCCGACTTGGATTGATGAGGTAACATAAGAAACAAGCTGCTGAATGCACGAACATGCACGAATGATATCGAATGATGATGGTGATGATGCACAACGACAAATCCCAAACACTTCATGGGACTGCCATAGGACTGCCGCCCCATTGACCCCCCTGGCACCACCCCAACTAGATGGGCAGTCCTATGGCAGTCCCATGTGTCGTGTTTGGGAATACATAGGCTAGGTTGCCAAAACTCTACGACACCAACCGCCACATTTCCGCGTTCTGATGCCCTCTCCGACCCCAGTCATTGAACAGAGGTGGGTCAGGACCCGACTCTTCGACGCCCTCCCAGTCTGGTACCCCAGGTGGCTACCGGGTCCGGTCCCGGTCACTGGCTACGTAGGCGACACCGACACCTCCGCGTTCGAAAAGGACCAATGGCAGGACACCTGTTGGAGAGTCTCCACGGCGATGGGGTTGAACAACTCCGGAAAATTCAGGATCAATCCTTAGTTCCAACAGAGGTTGAAAGACCTTATAGGACCCTGTAGTGGAACATATGGGATGGGCTATAGGGCTGTTCAACCTCTCTTGGTTGTGAAAAAGAGTGATGGGGTACCCAACTAGGATAGTCGATCTAGGGTTCTGACCCACCTCTGCCGGGTTTCACCTGAGTTTCACCTGGGTGAGTAGCTACCGTCACCGACCTCTCCCCACCGCTACGCTACCTCGATGACACGGTCACCACGGTCACAAGCGCGTTCCAGGCGAGATCCGCAGCTGGGAGGCCGTTTGAAGGACACCATGTTTGAGGTCGTTTGAGGGTGCAAAGTTCCAAGGGGGTACCGTAGAATCCATGTAGAAACTCCTCATGAAGAGAAGGTTGTTACCCATCCCAAAGCGGCAAACTGCTTCGTGGTACCCTCCGTGAAACGGAAGTGGAGCTCACCAGCTGTTTCGTATTCGGAAAGGGGTCTCATAACAGGGGGGTATGAGTCAATATGAGACCCCTTTCCGAATACCAAACAGGTGGTGAGCTCCACTTCCATGATGGTTTCAGGGAGGGTAAATAAAAAGCACAGGAGTGAAGATTGAATGAAAGGAATCCCTCAACATTCTGCTCCAAAGTTCTCTTAGTGCGGACAAGGACAAGGACCTTGACAAGGTCTAAGGCGCCTGAAAGAAGGAACAACAGTGGAAGCATCCGGAGAAAAAGAACACCGAGACAAACACAAATCAGCCAACTGGAATCAACCTGGATCTTGATCTCCTGGTCCCCCATGCCCATGCCCAGCTTCCCTTGAGGATGGCTGATGCATTGAAGAAGCCTCGTCCTGTATGGCTGGTGTCCACTGGATCCATGGGGCTCCACGAGGGCACCGGGCCGATCGCAGGCGGGACGTGAGTGGACTCGCGGCCCTTCTGGAGCGAAAACCGCCCAGCGCCGTCGATGGTTTGAGTCGGGGTCGCGGGGCGTCGGAGTCCAGGCGATTGGGTTTAATGTAGACTCTTGAGGACCATAACCCCCCCCAATTTGAATTGTACATCCTCTTCATATATGGGGGGGTTAATTAGTCAAGAGTCTATACATTAAGGGACAAGGAATGGACTGAAAATGTAGGCTTTCCCTTAAACCAATTCACTGGTTGGAATCACGGGTTCCCAGCTTGAGTGGTTGACACATGTTGACACCTATTTTCCTGGGACATTCGGAGAGAAAATGAGATGCCAAAGCACATGAGTCATGCACCTAGAAGCGCGAAGATGTTGGTGAGAACCATGACCCGGCTTTCAAGAAAAACATAGAAACACATTTCATTAAGATTCGTTCATGGAAAGCGAAGTCTAGAAGGTGCATGTCCAATTCCAGAACGAAGCTGCATCATATGGAGAAAAACTTGTCTGAGGTAAATGTTTTCGAGAGCCACTCCCACGCTCTGTGCTACCTCACCCAAAGACAGGCTATAGTTAAGGATAAACCCAGTCTCAACCAGAAACAAACGGATGCTTCCCCAGTCCAAGCCACTTCCGATGTAAAGCATCTCAATTGCCGCAGGGGGGCGGCCATTGTTTCTGGTTGGGACGGGGTTTCCAGGAAGTTCTGTGTTAGTGTCCGGTCTTAATTTCCGCCCAATTTGATTACCCAGGGTTCTTCCAAAAGTGTTTCCCCAATGAAGGAAAAAAGTGTGTGAAGTTGGAAATCCATTTCTGCTTGATTACCTCTACCCTCATGTCATAGATGTGGCAGTGATCCTTCTCCTATGAGTCCTATGAGCTCCAAGTTGCCCCAAAAGAAATGCGAAGACTTGGAGCTTTTTGGGGGATGCCACTTGGGGCAAAGAACTTCTGCCTCCAACCATGTAGCCTGCGTCTGTGTCTCCACTCGGGCACCCTGCCACTTGCTTGGCTAAGCGTGCTAAGCGCCGCTCCGCCAGCGACAAAGGCCTTGGTGTTCGGAGCATCTGCTAGACAGGAGGTTCTTTACAGTGGCCTCTTCCAAAGCTACGGGGCTTGGGGAGCTCCTTAGCTAGCCGCCGAACTCCCGGGCCCCCGAAGCGGCAACAGCTAGCAACAGCTCGTGTTGGGTTCGGACCTCTAAAGGAGCTAGCGGGCCTCGCGGGCCTTTGAGTCGTTGTGACCGAAAAGCGGCCAAGATCGTCTTGAGGCTTATTCCATTTCAAATCCCCAAAGCAAATTACTTCATCCAGCAGTCACAAAGGGGTGGTGTTTAGTCCCTAAGTGAGGGGATGTTCTGGGCACCCCTAACCTCCATTAAGCATCCCTTTGTGACTGCTGGATATAACTTACTTAACCTGACCTGCCTCCCTCAGCTTCCGAACATCGAGCGTACTACCGAGCCGTCCACCTGTTCGAGAACAGGTGGCGTACTAACCTTCACTGTCCCCCGATTTTCGTGCGGGGAAGGCAGTGGCTGGGGAGGTTTATGAATCAAGATTCTACATTATTTTACACAACTTGGAAGCTCCAGTAGGGAAAAAAACTCACGCAGCCATTAGACCCTTTCTCCCCCATAACGGACAAAAAAAAGATAAAAAAAGAAGATTTTGTAGGGCATCATCCATGTTTGTTTTGGGGTGAGCAAGCATTCAAACAGGGAGACCGACACCAGGCGTTCCCCATCCCCCCTGGAAGAAGGGAAACTAGACCAGACGACCCAGCCAGGGCCAGGGTGTCTCCCTGAACGCTGCGTAGCAATCACAGTAACACGCCCCGAAAACGCTGCCGTCCTTCTCTTCCGAACCCTTTTTCACCCTTCTGCGCGTCTCATCATGACGTTCCTCCACATTCAGGAGATAGTGATGCTGCACAATTTGCAGGCCGAATGCCAGCCATGCGTGGTTTCCACGCATGATTCCAGTAACTCTCGCACATGTGGAACGAATTATGTGAAAAAGACTTGGCGCAGCAAAAATTCCCTGAGCCCCAATTGACGGGTCTATGACATGAGTATGCAGCAAAATAAACAAGCCGCTAGTCCTCCTGAATTCTTGATCGTTCGCGCCACTCCTTCGCGCATCGCTGCGAGCTAGAAGTTCCAAACGCCAAACAATTACATAGCCATCACAACACTGTTGCCTGTTGCGCTCCCTACTGCTTTCAAAGAACCGGTGAAAGCGATTGAAACATATTGAAACAGGTTCGATGCTTTTTGCACCTTTCAGCTATGCAAAGCCCCTGCTAGGTGTGCGCCAAAGATCATGTAGAATGTAGATAACACTCCCTGAAGCAATCACAAAAGTGGAGCGTATGACCCCTGGAAGGACAATTTTCCTCTACAACCACGGTGTTGTCCACTTCCGTGTTTGGAGGGAGCGTCGTTAGGTCAGTTGAACCTCTTTCTAGTTGGACCTCGGGAATTTTGGCAGCCCCTTCCTCTGCACGCCAACAACACGGACCTCGGTGAGACGCTGCTGAATTGCAGCTCTGCCAGGCGCCTGTCGAAACTGGACTTCAAGAGCATCTGACTTGATACATGGCGTGGCTCTTGCTTAACAATTGAAGCATTAATTGGCATATCTCGTAGTTGATTGCTTCATTGGACACCACTGTAACTCCACCCCAAAGACATCCTTAGACTAGGTCGTTTCATGGTACCATCTATTCTCTAAAATCCATGTATTGGTGTTGGTTTCATAATGACAATATGGCCTCAGACTTTGCAGGTGGTCTGAGGCTCGTCGCCTGCCAGGTCGTTGGAGCAAAGCCTGCTCATCCGCCCCCTAGACTTCTTTCCCTAGACTTCCGGAATAAAACCATTGGCTGAGCTGGTTTTGTGCAAAAACCTAAGCCCAATGGTTCTTCGGGATGGTGGTGGAAGATCCTGTCCCATTCAACTCCTCGAACTGGGTCGCCGAAACGGGCGACCGCAAGGCCCAGCTGACATCCCAGCTCACCGGAGGAAGACGGAAGGCGTAAAGGCCTGGCCTAGATCTAGTAACAAGAAGCTAAGCTAAGTACCTGGAGTCGACCCGTTCGTACCTCGGAAAATGGGTACAAGTAGCTGTTTTTATGGGGTCATGTGCCATTTTCTAGGGTACTTTGGAGGGCCCAGGTAACAAGGGTATCGCTACTAGGAGCAAGGACCACGAAAGGGGGTCACGCCTGGCTAGGCTGGCGCCAGCTACTGCGGCAGGTCATCTCCGCGCAAGGAGCTATCTAAGTCCACGTCTGCGTCGGGCTCTTCATCTTCTGCCTTAGGAGCTATCTGAGTCTTTTTGTTGGGGGGAAAAGTGGGATGAGGAGCCATTATTGTGTTGTTTTTATTTAAGGGTTGTGCAAGCAACTGGGAATAGAAGCTTCCCCAAAAGAAGCTAATTCACCCAGAAGGGGGAACAACAAAAAAACAATAATGGCAACTAGGCTGCAGTCCAATCAAAAATGCCCTGCTTGATCTTGAAGAGCAAATGCCTCATATGATCAAAGAACTCCAAATAAAAAGAACAAACAGCAGTTCTGTCTAACCATGCTGGAGGTTCGAAGTTTCGTCCAGCATCATTGAACCATTCCCAACAAAATGTCCGCCCAAGTGTCGGAAAATTGCACTGAATATACATAGATCACCAGTCATCGCCGATCAAAGGCAACAAACACCTATAGACTAAACTAGACTCAGACTAGACTAGACCTCAGCAGGTGATCCACGCATCAAAACCCGCAGAACGATGCAAAACGGACACCCTCGATGCAGCAGAAACAGCCCAAACAGCGTGGGGCACGGGCCTCCGCTTGTGTATTTGTAGGAAATCCTCCAAGACGATGCACACCTCGCCTAACAAATCCACCTCAATGGTCTTCCCTTCTCGGCCACAGGAAGCCGCACGTACTCCGTTGCCTAGGAGTAGAAACAGCAAGCAGCATTTTCTGGGCGATGGACAGGCGAAACAAGTTGATGAAGAACCTCTTACATTCCAAAGGCTACAAGTAGATTATAGTTACATGTCATGTGCAACCGCCCGGAAGTAGAATACAAACCAATGCAAACACCATCTTTGGACGTCTTTGGCTTCCCCTATCTCTGATTCTATCTACTCCAGGATCACTACAAACATCTTCCCACTACTTATGGGGCATCCACCAAGTCGCTGGCGCCTCGTTGATCTTGTTCCAAAAGTCTCCAAAAGGCCCGAACACGTGGACACAAGACTGTGGATATCTACTGACCATCGGGGATGAGGAACTCCAGATCAACCGGGATGAAGAAGCGAACCGAGAAGAAAACTCTAAGGGGATACTCCGAAGGGCACAGAAAGACCTCAAATCAACAACAACTTGGTATTAAAAATCATCAAGACAGGGAGACCTCCCAGGCGTCCCGGCCCACAAGCGAAGGTTCCGACAAATAAACCAGTCTACCCAGCCATTGGGTCTGGCATGGTATGTCTTACTATTCACATACACACCCACATTGATCCCACCAAAGGGCCCCACAACTGCCGCGTTTCCCTAAGTGACAGTGGTGTCAAGAAGCCCCAAGGGGCCCCAACAACTGCCCCTGAACTTGAGGCCCTGAAAAGAAAGCATGCTGGTAGGTGAACCATTTTTGTTTGGGCATCTGTTCTTTTTGGGACTCTTCGAGAAATCCCTAGGTTATGCACTGACTGGGCAGGAGAAAAAACAAACATGTCGCGTGCCCGTCATTCGAAACCCACAAGATGCGCACTCTCGACCACAATTTATAGCGGTTTCAAGAATAGATGGCAGAACCGCATCAGATTTTAGCCAATGGTTTTTTAATTGCCTGCACATTGTTCAATACATCCTACATGTCTCTGATATGGTGTCCATATAAACTGCCGACATCAGGGTAACTTGTGCCATCTACGCTCCATCTATATAAGGAGACCTCCCAGCGCGACTGCAAAGAGAACTGGAAATTAGACTATAGTCGATCCCTTCCCAGCTGACTTCCGTTGGACCATTCAATGCATGGGGACAAACCTGGTGTTGCATTGCCGGATCCAAGTCCCTTCTCAGAAGGTACGACTGGACCCTCCTGGCACCTACATAAACAGTGTCTCCAATCACCGTACCTGAGAAGGTACGACTGGATCCCTAGGGTTGCTAGTATGTGCTGGTCACCCATCGTGAAAACGGCTCCGGGCATCGATCAACCCCCCCCGAAAAAACCGCCGAGCCGCGGAAGAGCACGTGCATCTCCATGAAGCGGTAACCCTCTAAGGTCTCCGCTTCTCGATTGAAGCGGTTGATCTGACGGACCAGAATCATCCTGGGGAGGGAAAGGCGGAGGGTGATTCTGGTGCCAACCAGATTCACAAAAATGGCACAACACCATATGGCACCACCTCTGAAAGGGTGATGTATAGACACCCGACCCCGAAAGGGTGTTGCTGCTAGAAATTCCATCGAAGTCGACTAAGTCTGCTTTTGGCAACTTCGACTCGCTTAAGCCGTCGCTGTAGCCTTCCACCATTCCATGCTAGTAAGAGGAGCCAAGCGAACCAAGCTGACCGGTCCTCGCCCGTCCAGAGGTTGGACCTAGTATGAAGGCTTTCACCGAACCTGCGGGGTTTACAGTGGGGTCAAGAAGTAGATGGCACAAACCCCTCCTTTACAGATGGGGGTCCAAATAAACCGTGTTCAGTCCAAAACCATCCAAAACGATCCGGTTTTTGTTCGGTCGAGGCTATGCCAGGTCCATGGTGCTTCGACAAACCTATAGGGTCTTTTGCCTACAACGATGGCAGCATATGGCAGCAAGGTCCAAGCGACCGATCCATCGAGCGATCCAGCTTCTTAAAGCTTTCCATCAGCTTCAAGACCTTAGTGAGCGAACAAGATGAATGGCATGTTGCACAGCGCCAGGAAGCCTGGCAACTAAAAACACATGCATACTGTATCTGTGTCCCATGCATATAGGATGCACTTACAGGATCTTAAAAGGGGAAAGGAGATTAGATCTGCTTTAGCCAACGCCAGGAACAAGATCAGAGCCAACTCGGAAGGTTTGCAAAGCTGTCGATCTGCCAGAATTCTTCGAATCCGGGGGGGGTGGTCCAACCCTTCATCCCTGCAAAATCATGCGAAATCACTACCCGCATCTCATACCCAGACCATCCATGGGACTGGCATAGGACTACCGGCCCCAGGATACCCCGTGGTCAACCACCCCGTGATGCGGGGTACATATGCGTCCGTCCCATGGATGGTCTGGGAGATATTCACCCTCTGAGAGGGTGATGTGTTCCACACTTTGATGTTGGCGCCTGGAGAGTTCGGAGACGGCAGGCACATGGACCTTTATAGGTTACAAACAACTTCGATGTCCTGGTGGCGGTCCAGGACGGATAGCGGGTAGCATGCCAGGTCCGGTCCAGCATGCTGTGATAAGCTCTGCCTTTCGGACCTTGAGGACCCAGAAAAACCATATAGATAGCAGCCATGCACTCCCGAGTCAACTCACATAGACCCGGGTCCGTCCTGGTCCCGAAGACTGTGCTGACTTCTTAAAAGATCTTCAAAGTTGACAGGTCATCATTCACCCAAATGTCCCGCTCCGCCCAAATCCCTTCCACTTCTCACATCTCTCCCCCTGACAGGTCGGCAGTTCATGGCGCTTCTTCCAAGCCACCGCCTTGGGACTCTTCACCGTGATGCTCCCGCGGACCACGTCCAGGATGCGAGAGGCACTGGAGCGGCCATCAAAGGACTCGGCGGAAGGCACGAAGCCCAAGGTCTTCTCCTTGTGCCGCGTCCTCCTCGGTGTCCGATTTTCGATTTTTCGGAAACCGCGCTGGTCTCGTTGCGCGTCGCCGTGCTTCACAACGTCGAATGCGCGTTCTCATGCGTGGAGGGTGCAGAACGTGCCGCGACGGGCGGGACGTGGTGTGGCGCGCGGCGTGGTGGCGCGAAAAGGCCGCGTTTGGTGGAGGAGGCATCGTCGTACATTTCGGCATGACCATGCCATCCACTTGGTCATCTGCAAGATACAGGATGTAGCCATGCAGTCTGAGCTTGTCCTTTCCCAGACCATCCATGTATGGGCTAGTTACTTCATTAGGGCCATGTATATGTAACTATTCCAGTCCCATGGATGGTCTGGGTTTTGTCCGTCAAGTACCTCTATAACCCTGAGGTTCCCTCGTCGCCGTTATCCACAGCAGACGCTTTTTTTGCATACATGTCGTCATTTTCCGGCATCGTCGTTTTTGGCCATTTTGGCCATGTCAGCGCTTCATTGGGAGCTGCCTGCGTTCTGTCAGCTTTCAGCCCAAGAATCATTCAATCACACATCAAATCAAAGGGCCAAGCCTTATCTTTCTTCTAGCATGCTTGAGTCTGAGAAGACTTCTTCGAAGGATTCCTCTCTGGAGTTTGAAGCGATGACAACTCTTGGCCAATCCTGCAACATCGGATGTTCAAAATCTAGTAATTATAATGAAATTGTTCAATCTCCTTTTGCAAATCTCATTTGATCTTCATCAGCAAGGGTGTGCTCATAGCGCATGTTATATCCTCGAGCATGGATGGAAGTGATGGCTATGAGGCGCAGTTGCTTTTTGAATTTAATGGGTGGGTTTGGCCAAGCAACGTCGAGACCACATCTCCAACACCTGGTGAAATACAGCCTAGGCAAGGGGGAGTTCGATCAAAACAGGTGCTATCCAGAAGTCAATCCCAGGTGTTTTTGATATAGGGAGCGGGCATGTGTCTTGGGGATTTGCACCCACTGAAGCTCTCGACGCCTGGACTGGTGGACTCAGAACACAGCTATTGCAACTCTTCATGCATCAAATTTCTGTGCCTGAGGGACAGCCTTGTACAAGCTTTGTAGAGATTAAGGTAACGGATGCCATGGGCCAAGACCTCATCAGCCTCATGTGAGGACCTCATGAAATATGAATCAAGAACCCATCAATGGAGATCATGTCAACATAAACCAAAACTGAGAATGTGTCAGGTATCTTCCCATCCGCTCGATGGCACATAGCAAAAGATTTCCTTCACTCCTTAAGTCCATCAAAACAAGGAAAACACTCAGTAACCTGAAGTTTCCACAAGTTTTAGAGGGATTCCGTATACATTATGCACTGCTTTTTGCACAGTTTTCTGCAACCATGAATCAGGCAACCAGCAACAAGCTGCAATTCTTGATCAGTTGGGCGACGCTGGACTAGGTCACATGCCCGATCGGATAAGAATGCAGCTACCACACGGCCATTGTATGCTTTGCAGGTCATCCACGGCTCTCCGCAATGGTACACCTTTGTGGACCAGGCGAGCCCTGGTTCAGAGACAGCAGCACTTCGCAAACCAACTTTTTGGTGTGGCAGTATTCCCCTTCTCAGTTTGTCACCAGTTCATGATGAAATACCCCAGAACCTGCAAAGGGGGGGTGCTTACCTAGGTCCTAGTACCATATTCAAGGGTTTCAGGCTGCAAGCTGCACTGACATTCAGTCCAAGCATCAAGCTTTTCAGTGAAGGAGGGCTGAGAACAAGATATCCGATGTTGGGACTTCCAATTCTTGAAGTCCTGGAAGACTGTTTTCAGGCCCTGCTTGAGCGGAGTTGAAGGGTCGCACCAATACCCATGCTTGTACAGAGCCAGCCTTGGCTGGAGAAAACATTGGTGTTCAAAACTAAAGGTGTGTATGGGAAATCTTGAAACATGTAGCCAGGGAACAAACCGGAGGCATTTGTCCTTTGAATTATCCCTAGTTGCAGGTTGTGCGCAGAGCAGAACCGCACCATCTGGCAGTGAAAGCCTTTCACCAAGAACAAAGGACCTGACAAACTTGCGAAAGCTGCGAGGCACTAAAAAACTTGCAAAAACTGTGAGACTTATAGTGACAAACTGCACTGCCATGCACTGCTGCCACCAAAGCACATGGGTCATTGCCCCTCAACACAGTCGTAGAAAGTCCGGGTGTGAGTATTGGTTTGAAATCCAACTTGCAGTCAAAGTGTAGTCCAACCTTTCACAGGAATCAGCCCTGCACTTAAAGCAGCACTTAGCCGAATTCCACCGCGGGATCAGCTGCAGAGAGAACACGTGCCAGGCCCAGTCACCACGAACTTCAGTTAAGGCAAACCTAGTACCATTCCTGCACAATGGATCCAAGCTGTTTGGAGTGGACCGCCTCAAATTTTGAGGAAGGCTTTGACCAAGATAGCCAGACTCAGGCTTCAGGCCTTCAAACAGCACGTCAAGTGCCCAGCGGATGTACCTGTATACGGCCCAGAGCGTTTTATGCTCTACACATAGACTCTCCCTGCATGCAAATAGGATGAACCGAGAGTTGCGCGTGGATGCAGGTCTCCAAAGGACGAAGGACATGTTGACCACTACTATTTTTTCGATGAATCCAGCTGAATCAGTATAGCGAGCCTCATCTCCATACAGACTCAGTGGCCAGAAGTAGAAGTCTTGCGACTCGCATCCAGCATGACCATTTCCCCATGGATAATACTCTTTGACATGGTTCCAATATTGCCGGAGATCTTCTGACTTGAGATCTACTCCATGCGAGTCCACCAGGTATTGTACCAATGACAACATGTTGACAACTGGAACCATGGTCTCGATGATTCCTTTGCCCTCCTCTTTGAGGTTGACAGGTGCAGAAACCTCGACAATATCCTGACGCAGGTTGCAAACCTTCTTGCAAAGCTGACCCATAGCTATTCCATCTTGCAAACCCATTTGAATTTGTGTTTGATTGTTTTTGCACATATGCTTTCAATCTGAATCAATATGTAGACTAGACTGGATTCGTTTCAGGGGACCTAATCATGCATGAGTGCATTTGGAGGCTCCACTGGCAGCTTTGCATGCCGCCAGAAATCTCGCGACGCATTCGGACCAGCAAACCGCGCCAGCTTTGCAGTTGCACCACTCAGTTTGCCAGATCCATGGATTCTGGCCTCCTGCCAGGCCCAGTCCAAAAACTTACAAAGCCACGTGCAAAGACACATGCGTGACAAGTTGTTCAACAACATATGGCCTCACTTGCTTTGGTAGCTGCTGTGCATGCTGAAGCCACACTTGCCTCACAATTTCTCCGATGCACACAAAAAGATTGGGCAATGGATCTAAATTATAAGGACAACACCCCACCACCAACTTGGTCTTCAAGATGGTCTCGAAAAGGTGCGGAAGTACCTGGAGCAGATGCCGATATCTGGACAACTATATCTATTCATGGTGCGTGTTTGCTGCCAACTATGCATGCATGCGTGCATGTGTTTTTCTGTTTCCCTGAAGTCTCGTGACCATGTCCAGTCAGAGTCAAGTCTGGACTTTGCTTTCAGTGTTATGACTTTCAGTCACACGGTCCCCCAAAGCAGCCGAGAAAGGGTCAGGTCCAGGCCCTTCTAGATTAATGCAAACGTTAAAGAGCGGCAAACATACAGATGTGACATAGTGTCAAGCTTGGTCCTGCTCTAACTCTCCCAGGCTGTAAACACTACAGCTACAAAAGGCTAACTGACTTGCAGCTAGCGGAGCATCAGCATGAGTGTTATCCCCCAAAATCTTCACTTCGTGGCAGCGGATTTGGCCTTTGCCTTCGCTTTCGGAGCCTTGCGTGCACATCATGACGCATGGGGAATCTGCAGGTTCTTCCTTGGGCTTGGTTCAGTTTGGTGCCTAGATTTGCAAATGTTGGGTTCCGTTGTTTTTGCTGGAAACTGCATGCCTAGTGGCCACGTGCATCATGATCGCCTTCTTTGCCGACTTGTACTTCTTGAGAGATTCATCGATACGGTTGGTCAAGTCAATGACCTGGAGATGTCATTCACATAGCACGTTGATATATACTTGAAATCAGAAGTTGTACGTAGCTACATGACTGTTGAAAAAAGAAGACCCAGATCTAGATGTTTGGGGGCGTTGATTGAGGTATATAAATTTCTGGCAGTTGAATTTGTGTGCCCTTGAGGCCTCGTCATCCTGATCGGTCCGCTCAAGATCATCGCGCAAATCCTTCAGGCTTGTTGACTGGAGGATGGCGTTGTGAACAAGGGCTTCGATCAGCTGGGCACTCCTTGAAAGCAGGAATATGGAAACAGCATGCTGCATGCACTCACTGTTTTTTGATGCCAAATGTACTGACATGTACTGTGTTCAGTCGACTAATCATTTGGAGACATGGGAAAAATAACTCGAGATTTTGGACTTTGCATGGATGTCTTCCAATCGCGAACGGGGCACACTCCCTGCTTTTCCAAATCTGGCTTGAAGGTGCTGACCTCTGCTGCCGCCGTGGCAATGGAAGTCAAGGCCTGCCCATTGAGTTGAGACATGCATTGGGAGATGCCTGTTCAAAGGCACAACATGTCATTGATATTTGTTGATCGGGTATGGATGCCCCATGGCCTTCTTTTTCTTCTTGGCTGGTGGGTCCACAGTCTTGTCAAGTTCCACCGTGACAGCACTTCGCTTCTTGGCCTTCTTCTTCTTGGACAACTGCCTCAATGGCTCCCCCAAAGTGGATGCATTTACACATTCCCACGCACAAAGGTTTCCAAAGTGAAATGAAAGAGTCTAGACATTGCATGTTTGAGGCTTTCGAATTCCAATTGTTTGCACATACATGTCCATGCAGCCTCCCGCTTTGATCTCGATCATCGCCAGGGCAACCATCAGACAAGTCGCTCTCTGAGTCCTTGCGCAGAGTGGGAGTGTGGGTACAGGAATCTAGACCAACTGCCAAGTGAGAGCAATTCTAGACCCCATAAATTTCCAGACCCGAAAGTACTTCCCAATCCCTACAACTTTCACCAGCAAGCCAACTTTCTTTTGTCCTGGTTCTCGTGTTCAGCTCCATCGCACTTCTCATCCTCGCTTTCATGGATCTCAGATTCCTCGTCGTACACTTTGTAAAGGATCATGTCCTGGAGGCAGAACGATTTCCAACAAGGAGTTGACTGGGTCAGTTGAACAGAGTACCTGCAGGTTGATATCAATCCAACTCGATCAACCCCAAAGACATGAAAGTTGATAGAAACAAGTACAAGCATTGGATCCTTTCGCCCTGGGAATTCTGGGTGGTACTTCCATTGGCCAGAGGCAAGTTTGCTTTCGACCAGCTCATCCACGAGTTCCTTGTCTCCGTCAAACCTTGGCCGGGGAGGACAGGGTGCGGTTTGGGGTCATGTGGTAGTTGGCAGTGATTTCGACATGTTTTTTGGGGACTGATTTCAACGAGCCACTGCTTGAGCAGTTGTGCATATGTGCGCCACACTTTGCGCAACGATCGCTTGCTCCGGCTCTTGTGTGTGATTCGAGAGAAAGTCCTGCTTCGTTTCCACTTACCCTTACACAGAAAGAAGTCCTCCAGTAAATCAGCAGCTGCAGTGTGGTCTTTGCCTCAACCATCAACAGAAGTCTAAACAAGAATGTTAGACCTTTCCACTTCTAGAAGATCGATGTTTTCTGGAATGATATTTCGTAAAGTACTGCTGGCAGTCTCTCTCCTCTCTGCACATGAGGGATGCGCTCGCTCGTGCTTTGCGGTAGGCCTTCTTGATGCATTCAGGAGTGGTTCGGCCTGAGCGCAAAGGAACCAATTGACAAAAACTGTTGTGTATTGTTGACTGATTGCACTAGGCTTCCAGCTTTTGAGACTGTGCATGAACCGGGTGTAGTGCCCTTTCCGCTTCTCGACCTGGCCATCACTCAGCTCTTCTTCCGGTTCATCCCAGCTGTCTCCATGGCCAGGATGTGATTCCTTCGTTTGCTTCCGCGAAAGTGCTGCCACTGCGGCAGCCTTGTCATGTGCATCTTGCACATATTCTGTCCACCCAGTCCCGTTGTCAAACCACCATTTGCTGTCCCACCAAGACCAGCGACAAGTAGCAGTAGCCTTTGGAGGCGACTGAGGCTTTGCTTTCTTGGCTGCCGCCTGTGCCTGCTCCATTTCAGTCCTCACAGCTCGGGCAGACTGGCGTGCATGCTTCTGAAGGTCTGACCCAGGAGCCTTTCTTGGGCAAATCTTTGCAGGATCCACAGGCTCCTTTGGATTACCAGCAGGCTCCTTGGCAACCCGTGAACCCTTGGCATCAGCAGGCTTTGCGCCGGATGCTGAACTCTTGGCACTCTTGGCTGGCTCATTTGGATCAGAAGTTTTGGGCCTCTTGGACCCTGGATCCTTCCCAGACCCTGGGCCTTTCACCTTCTTCTCATCAGAGCGACCCCTGGATGTAGCCTTTGCCTCGCCAGGTTTCGCACCAGATCGAGTAGAGGGTTTTGAAGTGCGAGCAGCGGTCTTTTTGAGCTCAGCATCACCCTCATTGGCGTCGGTCTTCGCCTGATCAGGTTTTGAAGAACTTGACTTCCTCTTGCGAGTCTCACTGCTCGAAGGCGGAGTATCCACTCGAGTGTCTTGATCAACGGGTTCAAGTGAATCCCGTGGCTGGGCATCAGTCCATGCTGCCATCTCACCACTGGATGGCACCGTTATCTCCTCCACTGCATCCTGACCTCATGACCCAATATATTAAAAAAATGATTAAATAGACTCCGGACATCAAATAAACTCCGGGGTCATGACGTCTTGGTGGCTGCATTTCAGGAGACGGAGTCTGCGTTGTCCTGGACCTGATTTCGGAAGGCTGGTGGGAGTTGATCATGGGATCGGACATAATTTCATGAATACGATAGGCGATGCTGGGGTCCAAACCGTACCGAAAGAGGTGCAAGTTTCGGAGACACCATATCCGGAAACAAAACCCTCGAGCGAATGAACACGTGATAATGAGCCAAATTTCTCAAACGCGATTCTACGTACAAAGGCTGAGATCCTGCGGTCAAAGCCTGCGATTCTACGCTCAAACCCCGAGATTCTACGTACAATGTGTTTTTCACAAAATCCGTTTTCATCCTCGAATTGACCCGTGATCAGATCACGTTGTTCCTGAATTATGTTTGAATTTGGGATGGCAGTCCAGCTGTTCTGCAGCCTACGGTGCAGATAACTTAAAAGCTGGAACGAAACTTCCATCCGCAACTCTCGATCGCAAAAATCTGTATAGCTGATGGAGGTCCGCGTATGTGGCCCAGTCAAATGCCGGTGCCTGGCAGGCTGAGTCCATGCCGCGTGTACTACTTCGAGAGAACTTCGAGAGACCATGCCAGGGCCTCTTCTTCAGCTTCAGTCTTGATCTCCGGTTGTAGCCGTGGTGCTCGGGGGAATTTGCGGGCCTCTCAAAGTGGAAGAGTCAAAATTTGATCTGAAGCGGAAGGGTCGACTAACGGATTTCAGCTCTAGGCAAAAACCATATCCAACACCAACGGTCCAGGGGTCAAATAGATTCTTTTGGAGGTAAAACCTGCCTTCACCATGCGCTGCAGTTTGATGACTCGCTTTGCAAACGGCTTAGGGTACTGCTGGCTTCTTTTGAGGTCTGGACCTCCACTCCTAGGCGACTAGCAACTTCAAGATTGATCTAGATTAGAGATTCGCTAAATTCAAGAATATGTTCAATTTCAACCTTTAGTGCAAAACAAGGTTCACCGATTTCTTAGATGGGTCGTTCTTGGACACATCTTTTCGGACCAAAGCAATCTTGTTTTTCTCTTGATCCATTTTGATCCGTTGCCTTTGGGCAAATGTCAATCGCCTCCAAAGATAGCCAACACCAGGCCTTGATTCGAGGCACATCAAATCACTATGTCCAAAAAAGTCTAGGATATCTACTTGAGGCCCTTTCCATGATCCGATGATGTAGGTCCCTTTAACTGCGAAGTGGCCATAGCTCCCCATATAACTTAGTCAGCCGTACCATCATTGTGATCACATGTGATCATGAAACAACGTGTATGCATGCGCATATACCTGCAGACTGATCATCAAGATAGGCCTCCGACAATCGTGTCATCGCACTCTTCAAGCCAGGAATGCGAAGGAGCCGGTGATAGCAAGGGATTTCTTTCAAAAGTGAAGACAGTGGTTGCTCAGCAGCCCAGTAGCAACACCGACTAACAGCTACTAGAGCTAGCAAGCAAAAGCGGGTTGCACATAGGTTGGAGAGCCTCACCCTTTCACTGTTTGGGTCACCCATCGGGAAATACAAATGCCTCAGGCTCGTGCCCAAGGAAAGCCAAATGAGAAGGCTGCAAGGCACCCCCCCCCACAGCAAGGATGACTCTTTGAGTCGCATAGTTTGTTTGAGTGCATAGGCCATCCCAGCCCTTGGCACGCAAAGACACGTGGAGCTTCAAGGATCCGGATGTCACGCACTAAAGGGTCTGAGGTTTAAGCGGGCTGTCGATGTTGTTCAAATCACCACGACCAGATTCCCAGTCATAGTAGTCACTGGCCAACATTGAATTTGCAAATGCCATAGGTTTTCTGTTGAAACGAGTTGACTCCTCTGAGGCCTGCCTCTTCAGTCCAGCGGAACCTCAAGGCAGGGCGGGCTGGCATGGGCTGGGGGTTCTTTCCTTCGTATTTGAGGGATTGACGTGCAGACTGGTGGATCTCGGCAGAGCCACTGAAAACTTCGAAGACATCTAGGTCCTAGACAGTGAACACTGCAAAACTATTCGGTTCCAAACAAGTTCGTATAGGTTCCCTGCTCTTTGGCTTTCCGGCAGAAGTGGGTCACTGTTTTGGACCACAAAGTCCATCAAATGCAGCCTTATCGGCACAAACCCCTGAATTCTGAACACTGGCTTGCTTTAATGTGCAAAGGGGCATAAAGCAGACCAATATGATATCATGGATCGAGGCTCCAGCAGTATCAGTGGTGCCCCAAGCTTCATGAGAAGCAAGTGAGTACGAGTGGACATCTCAAGGGGATGTTCCATGATGCTTCCAACCTACCAACCAAAAAGATCGTGTTCTAAACGTCAGATAATAAATTTGGCGGATTGCATCAAAATCATGACATGCACAGGCATGATCGAGAATCGAACGAGAATCGATTCCGATCTATTCCGGACTAGCGATGGCCTCCAACCTACTAGATCTCCAACCTACTACTGTAGATCTCCAACCTACTAGCGATGGCCTCGCAGTAAGTCAATGTCAAACTTCCAAAAGTGCAGCAAATCATATTGTTGCCCTTTTCAATCCTTTTCCACTGCTGACGGCAGGTGATTTGGCACCTGTCGAAACGCATGCCCTGATCTAATTTCCAGGACATTGCGACCCCCACCCCATATTGAAATCAAAAGGGCTTCGATTTCATGAGAGCCAGAACATTGGCCAGGTGCTGCGAAAATATATACAACAGTATCGACTTATGAAAGTGCAGAACTGAACTCATGGCCATCCTAAGCCCTGGCCCTCCTCACGCCA